GGGGGGGGGGGATGAGCGACGCAGCACTTTCTGGCGGAGATTATTCAACAACTCTACGGTACAGCGGTTTCTCCTACAAGTGTTAGATATCTTGTTTCGCCGACCGATGTTGCGGAGCCCCCCCCACTGGAGCGACTTCGGAACGGCTTCTTCGGTCCCATCTCGGGCTGTTGGTCCTATCCATGCTGGTACTACGTTACAATAAATTGGTTGCCCCACTCCTCGTTTCTGCCAATCCACCCTGCCGGCGCGAAAAACCCCACCGGCTGCCTGCCGTCTGTGCTTGTTTGATATCGTGCGCTTTCGGAACATTAGTTTTCGGATTTTGGATATCCGTCTGCTACTCATTTCCTCCTGATGGCGGGAAAAACCCGTGTTTTGAGAACAATAGTTTTTGGACATCCCTCTGCTCACGCCCTCGTGCTGGTATCTAAATCACCCACCTGTTGCTGCTGCTGCTGCTGCTGCTGCTGCCGGTAATGCTCGTTCGGCAGGCCGGCCGGTCGTCGAACCACCCCGTCCATGACCACAGATGAAAAACGAAGAAGCTAGACCTCCCTTTCGCCCCCCCAGTCCTCGCGAGCAGACCTGGTTCGAGGAGAGTAGAGGGGACAAAAACGGGGGGTGAAGTTAGAATAAGGCCATCCGCTGTGACATGATCAATGCCATCAGACCAGAAAACAGTACCGTATATGACACAAGATAACACACCCCCTGGACCGATTTTTAAAGCTCGATATATCTCAGCACCAGAAAGCGTCACAGCGCCGAAAATGGCGGCATTGAAGCTGCCTCGTCGAGAGCTTTCCGAAAACGTATCGCTTCGTATGTGCATCTTCTTCGTCAATGGGCGCAGTCGAGCTTTGAAAATTGGTCCAGGGTGTTACATCTTGTGTCCTATACGGTATAGACTACTTAGAGAGAGCAGGCTATACAGGAAGACCACCTACCCGGTCGAGATATAACCACAGCAGCAGGCGAAGGGGACATCTTCTCGCTGGGTACAAGAAGTCGGCATGTTGACACTTTGGTGTACAGATTATGCCGAAGGGAACGTATAAACAATACTTGGCCTTCATACTTTTGCCCATGGCAGCGACGCCTGCTGTGATATTCCCGAGAGATGCATTGCGGTTTCGTGTACAGGTGTTTTAGAGGGCATGAGGTGAAGAGCTTAGGAGGGGACAGGGTGGACAGCGCAGGTGACCGCTGTCATGTCATGTTGCCGAGGGCCGCGTGGGCGAGGGGGGCGTACTCTTGTGTTTTGCATGCCTTAGCAGTTGGACCATTGACCACGCGTCCTCGAGAGGACGGAGCATTGTTCCCACAGGATCGATCGCCGACGGGACGCGGGGGGGCGTGGAGATCCTTCATAAGGGGGGTAGAACTTAATCTGCCCAACGTCTGTCTATCGAGAAAGATTGATGCCGCCATTTCACGTTGGCCTCGCGATGAAGGTTAAGATTCCCACTATTCACTTTTCACGACGAACATCACTAGAATCAGAATTGGCAACACATCGGGATGGATTTGATTGTAGGGTGTAGCGGGAACAGCAGGCCCCCACCGACTAGCTCGCACGGAGGGAATCCTAAGCCCTCGCGTGCTACTCTGGGGCGCGCCTGCCAGGGTGACGAGCTCCGTGCATGGGTTTCTCCCGCGAAGTCATGCCGGCTACCGCAGGTTGCATGAGACGTCACACACCCCGTCGCTGTCTTCACATTAAAAAACCGTTCCGATCTCTCTAACCAGTACCAGCCATCTCTGTCCGTACTGATCTAACACTTGGCGCGGTCGATTCCAGTGATCACAGGCTGATTTACCCTACAAAGGACTACTGAAATAAGATGGACCCGAAGGATCCGCAAGCCGGCAGAAATTGCGACAGATAGCCTAGAGGTATCCGCCGGGACCCATTTTCAAGCATCGATTTTTCTAGAAGAAGTGCTAGCGCCGAAAAACGATGGCGTTGAAGCCGTCGCGTCGAGATCGGAAACTTTTCGCTTCATTTCTGCATCCTCTTCGTGGAATAATCGAGCTCTCAAAATCGTTCCAGGGATTGTTGGTATCTTGCGTCGCCTCCGGTATGCAGCACACCTTGCAGTGTACGTCTATCTCTAGTTGACTTACTCAAGCATCGACCTAGAGCAGCCAGGGGCTACTGAAGCGACTGACTAATGAGATCATGCCTCGGTTATTAGGGGGACAAAAAAACGTTATTTGGAACCTACTGAGCATCATTTGGACTACCAAAGCACCCACAGGTTGCGCAATTTAGAACCTCAAGTTTTGGCTGAGGCGGGGAGTGTTTTGCTTCAATGACCGCTGTATGCCGTAAGGGGTGGAGAGATGGCACCCCCCCCTAGACCGACCTTCAAAGCTCGATTACTCCACGACCAAGATTACTTGTACCGAACGTATACCGTACCGTGGTATTCCGTAAGAGTCGGAGAGATGGCACCCCCCCTGGACCGACCTTCAAGCTCGATTGCTCCGCAACAACGATTGTGCCAACGCCAAAGATGGTGAGTTTGGGAACATCTCGTTGAGGGCTTTCCCTAGAGTTACCGGACTCTTTTTTTTTCCCGCACCCCTTGATCCCCCCCCCCGGTGTTTGCCATCGGGGTTGGGTTTTCGTCGCTTGGCAACGACGTCATAAAACAAGCCGCCGCCCCCCCCGGTGTTTGCCATCGGGATTGGGTTTCGTCGCTTGGCAACGACGTTCTAAAACAAGCCAAATCACTTCGTGAACTCGGCAACCAGGTTACCGTTTTCTTTTTTTTTCCTCCGGTTTTGTTTTTTTGGCGGTAACCATAATGGTGGTCGAGGAGATCATGTTGTGCGGGGTCGAGAACCCTCACTCCGCGCAAGGGGGATGATCGCACCACGTTGTGTTAAAATGGTCAAGCACCCTCGAGGCAGTTACACAGTGCTTACAACTGTCTCTGGAAGTGAAAGTACCAGAAAATAAATTAAGTCATACGTGGCTGTCATTCGTACGCAAGGAAGTAAGCACATGATGCCGAACACCCTTAGCAGGATGCAGCGCACCCTTCATGCGACTCGCCGAA